TATCTGTTATTATAAAAATACGGCTTTTGAATTACTTTTTAAAGATTTTCACTTGGTTAATTTCATAGTGATATTACAGGCGCTGTTGAAATTTAAAGGCTAGTGTCCTGTTTTTGTTTTTTAAATGGAGTTCTCTTGTTATTCACTTGGCCCCTTCAATTACTACTATTCCTCTATTAATCTTTTCTGCTGCGTCTGTGATGTAGTGATTCGGTGTTTCTGTGTTGCCCGCAGGAGACTCAAGTTCAATTCTCAAGTGGGGAGAATTTTTATCAAGTACCTTGGTCTTTCTGCCAGAATGTTTTATCCCTCTCATCCTGGGTTGGTCCTGATCAGAAGTCCATCTCCTTCATTATCGTCATCATGTCAGGTGGGGCGTAGAAATACTTACTTAAGGAGATGGACTTCTGACTCTTCTTGTCAGGACCAACCCAGGATGAGAGGGATAAAAAATTCCAGCAGAAAGACCAATTAGGTACTCGATAAATATTCTCCCCACTTGAGAATTGAAATTGAGTCTCTTGCCTGCAATACCAAAACACCTAAACACTGAATTTTGTTTTTCAAATTTTCTTTGCGTCAGGTTGCCCACAAGACTCAGACCTATATGGTTGGCCGGCAAGAGGCAGAGACAGAAGTGGTTTTGGACAGACTCATTCAGAGAGAGGGAAATAAGGACAAGGCTCTGCTCTATGTTGTCTCTGAGATGCATTCAGAGGTCAAGGTAAAAAAAACATTCAAAGGCCATGGTAAGACACATGTGAAAGTAAAGATAAGACACAGTTAGAAGTAAAGGTAAAACACATTCAAAGTTCAAGGTGAGATACATTCAAAGATCAAGATAAAATGCATTCAAAGGTCAAGGTAAAACACTTTCAAAGGTTGAGGTATCATAGCTCATATATTTTTTAAAAGTAAGGTGGAAATAGAGGAAATGATCTATTGTTTTTAGCTGTTGGAGATTTGCTGTAGTGGGGCAAGATGATGGGTGGTTGGAGGGCGCCACTGGTACATTCTCCTTCTTTTCTTTCAATCTGTATTGTTACTGTCTGTTCATCTGTCTATCTGTCTTACTCTTTCCTTGCACTAATTATAACTGCTATTATGTCATATGTGCACCTCTATACCCAAAACTCAAAGCCTATGCAAAAGACATGATGTCATATCTCAGACATCAAAGTAAGGTGGGCATGGAGAAAATGATAAACTGCCGTTTTAGCTGTCACAGAGCAGCATTCATATGCTTTCAAGATGCTTTCAGTTGTGAAAATAAGATGCATTCAAAGATAGACAAACGTCTAAAGATCTTATGGGTCAAGTAAAATGCAAGCAGAGACGAAAATGATGTGCATGTGGGAGGGGGGGGGGGGGTAATGTAAGTTTGAGTGCTGTAGCTGGATGCTCCCCAAGGATTGAGGTAAAATGGTTCTGAAGTATGGGTAAGACACCTGTTTCTTCATCATCTATCTGCATTGTGTTTTATTTAGAATGAATAATATTTACATCACTTTATCAGTAAAATCATCAAAACCCAAGCATTGCCTAAAGTATGGAACAAATGGAAACCTTCTAGTCACTAATGTTATTTGAAATGTAGAATTTAGTTTAATTTGTGGTAAGCTTAATGTATTCACTTCAAGTTTGTGGTTAACATAATGTATTTTGAGCTGAAATGAACTTGTAGCATGATATGACAAGTCAGCAAGATAATGACCACATTCTACTGGGAGAAGATTATGATAGGGACTACATGTCAAACAAATGAACCAGAAACTTGAATACTCACCACCCACTCACGTACAATATTATAAACTTATACACATAATTTAAAGCAGATACACAATGAATTCCTTCAATAACCTCTCGCAGGTCCAAAGTTTTGTGAACACTCTACTTCATCGTGGGGCTAACCCGTCTTTCTGTGATAAGGAATGGAGGACCCCACTGCACCACGCCGTGCGGAGAGGTTTTAAGTAAGTATTTTACAGATTCGCTATCTTTAGAATTTTCCTTTCTGTTAAGTCGTTGAGAATGCTCTGTTGTAGAGCACTTTGAAAACAGAAGCTTATCTTTGATATTCAGACTGATTTTAAAAATTCTGTTTCTTTTATCTGAAACTTTAAATGATAAGCAACAACATGCGTACTAAAAAATATACAAATTCCTATTTCTGATTTGTGAATGATGATTCAAATGTGCTGTAAAATTGCTTTTGGTCTTCTGATCGGACATTTGTGTCTGCCTCATCCTTGAAGATTTGAGATGTACTCAAATACTCTTATACAGATCAACAAACTCCACCTTGAAAGTAAAGATATTGCCATATTATTTATCATGGTACATACGTACATGACAACTGAATTTTGTTTTATTTTCTTACAACATACTGCTGTGTTTGTTTCTCCTGTAGGGGCGTGGTGAGCAAACTGTTGGAGCATGATGCCCTGCCACACGTCAGGGACAAGAAAAAGACGTTACCTTTTCGTCTGGCTTTAGAGGAAAACTTTGATGAAATTGGTGCTATGCTCCTTCAGTCCATGCCAAACCATGTGTGAGTTGTCTCAAGGAATTTCTCAAGGAATTAACCACTTGTCTTTTTAATCTCCTTGTTGAGCTCAGGAGGTACAAAGAACTATTTGAGTGCAAAACATTTGGAAATTGACCTATATTATCCCCTTTCGAACCACAGGTCCTTCACAACAACAAGAGCGTCTAGAAAGGTTATTTGAATGGGCGTAACTACTCGTAATGTTTTATCAGCTTGTGAGAGGGGGTTATTCATGTGTTTGTAACACTTTATAAAAAGAAAGCTATAAAAGATAGAGTATTATTTTCGTCATCGATTAACACTCTCCCACGGTATTCATGGCAAAAACACACGTTTCCCGATGCGCATGCTGTACAAAAACAGTACATACTGAGTGACACCGGTGCCCTGTCCGGAACGTATGACGTAATCGGTTGCTGATAAGATTTGCGTCTCAGCACAGACACAGGACAAGAGTTAAACATTTCAACCAAAATTGGGTAAAACGCAAAATTGTGCAATTTTCGCAGACATAGATTGATTTTTTTTGTTTTGATAAATGTAACGTCCCCATAGTTGAATTTTAATTCTGCAAAGTTTTATAAAAAGTGGTCAAAGATAACCAAGTAAACTTGATTTATAAAATAAAATATAGAAAGTTACAGGGAGTTGGGATGCGGAAGAAAGAAAAGAAAAACACAATTCCAAAACCAAGTTCATTATTGCTGTTTAATTAAGTGGATCGACCTTTTTTTAAGACACCCCGTATATCAACACAAGTATAAAAGTGTTGATGGACTAGCGAGCTAACCATCTTTGTCGAATATACCCAAGATGACCAGCCTTGTTGAGGAGAAAAGTGGTTTTATTAGACAGGTGGTCATCTTGCACAGAGTCATTGTAATAAACAATAATTGTAAGTGGGGAAGTTGGAAGTGGTCATTGGTACAGGTGAAGGTCTTGGACAGGCAGTAGATAGAGCAAGGTTTCTTTTCATGTGAGATAAAATTTATAATGCTAGTTAAATCTAAACAAGCCTCTCCAAAATGGTAATAAGATCACAGGGAAAAGTGACTTTTCAGACAAAAGACCTCCATGGAGAGGTGGCCAATTAGGCAGGTTCAACTGTAATGCACTCATAAGGATTCTACATCAACCATTTACTCAGCTTGGATGGAATTGTGTACTTCTTTTTTTTTCTTCCAAATCCCAAATCCCTGTCACTTTATATATTTTACTTTATGAATCAAGTGTACACACACCTTAAACTGGGGTCTGTGGTGCAGTGGTCAGGCACTTCAGTGTTGAAGGCAGGCGACCCGAGTTCAGTTTCAAAGAGGGGCAAATTTTTATTAAGTTTCTCAGTCTTTCTGCCATGATGCTGTATCCCTTTGAGCCTGGGTTGGTCCTGACAGGCAAGGTCTGAAAGCTGCTTCCTAAATTATCTAATTTGTGTCAATGGGGGTGTAACAAGGCTTGAATTTTAAAAAATTTCTCACACTTTTGTTTTGTGGTGAGAAACAAAATTTTAATGTGAAGTTCAAGGTCCTCAGAATATATGTCTTAGGAAACAGATGTTTGTGTTTCTTTTTGTCTATACACTGATGCTTGACCAATATTTTGAGGCACCTGTGACTGTGAACTGCTCATCTCTGAAACACGCACATAGCGAATAGATTTTCAGGTCCGGAAATTTTTGTTATACATGTAATTTCTTTGTATTTAAAATGTGTGAATTTATTGAAATTCAGATAATATAATGAAAATATGTTAGTGTGCTGCATATTTCACTATAATGACCATGCTTGTCCGTACATTGTGCATAATTCAGCCTGTCTTTTTATAACTATATCTTCATATCTTTCAGAGTTAGAGATCTGTTCATTACCCACGACAACAATGAAGCTGAGTGTACCTTTCACAGTCTCCTAGACAGAAACATGCAGGTGGGTTAGAGACATTTTCTTTACAGCCTCCTAGACAGAAACATGCAGGTTGGTGAGAGACATTTTCTTTACAGTGGACAGTCTCCTAGACAGAAACATGCAGGTGGGTGAGAGACATTTTCCGGGGATGAGGGGAAAGATGAGCGTAAGAAATTATGTTTGTGATACTCGGTACGTGTAAAGACAATGTCAATAGTGTGCAAGGGTAGGTACGATGATAAATTTACAACACATCAGTTGGTTATTTTTTTAGCTGTAGTAAGAGACAACAAAGATATTAATATTGGTGAAAGTAATTGATTAAGTCAGAAGAATAGATTGTGAACGTGTTGCTACCCCACAGTGACCCTGGCATTTCACACAAAGTGGAGCTCTTTGAAAGGGTTGGGGGGGGGGGGGGGGAGGGGGGGTTAATACACTTTACTTTTACCTCTACAGCTACATTTACAGTGGAGTTCGCTTAGATGGAAATTTACGGGAACGACAGATTTTATTCGGTTTAGCTGAGATTTAGGTTAGAGTGATTGCTGGAAAGGACACACACAAAAAAAATGGGGATTTTATTTTCTCTTGGTGTACTGCTATTTCCAGATTAATAATTCGGTTCTAGTTTTTTGGGGGGTTTGGAAAGGTTTTACGGCGTTCGCTACTGCATAAGTTCATATGTGCGACAAGGAATGAATGTCAACAGAGAAGTCCAAACGGGGAATCAGACTTACTCTGCTCACCTCTCTTCTCTCGCCTCAAAGACACTTCAGTCAGTAGCACTGCCCTGGGGGGAAGGTTTTAACTGAGTACTGTACATCCTTCTTCAAACTTGAACCAAGTGATATATTTTTTTTGTTCCGATAAGGAATCTGCCCTGGCCGTTCTTGACTGCATGATCGACAAGATTGGTCAGACTGGACACGTACGTGTATATTACCACATACTGGAAGCTGACGAGAAGGGGAGGCCACCCACACATCCTGATTTTCAAAAGAATTCCAGATCATGTCTACATCTGATGTCAAAAGAGGGGAATAAGGTAATTTGTTTTTCATGGCATTTGACCACTGGTGTATATTCTAATTTGCTGCCTTCTTTTTTTATAATTACCAATGTTCTCAAGTCACTCTGTTCAGCTTTATTTCATTTTTTAAAGGAGATAAATAATTTTTCTTATCATTCAGCTTGAAGCACTGATGTCTGTTGTATTTTGGTTTGACACTTTACCGTTTTTATGTAGAATGCATGAGTTTGATTCCTGAGTGGGAAGTTTTTTTATCCTGTCTCTCCGTCCGTCTGCTGGGAAGCTGTATCCCTCTCTGCCCAGTTAGGCTTGCCTCCGAAGTGATCTAAATTATGTGGATGAGGGCTTAAAACACTTACACCAGCAACTGTGACTGTAATTGGGAACATATGGTATTTGGGCATATTATGTGTATGGATTGATGAGATCTACCAACTTTTAGAAAACATGAAGGCCTGTGCAAAAAAAGCTTCCACAAATTTGGGTCAAATTGGTTTGAACATTTGACCACGTAGAGCATGCAAAAGTTGAAATCATACCAACTATTTAGTGGGAGGCTATATTTAATAAGCAGTATAGGTCTTACGTACATGTTATGAACTACAATTTCTTTCTTACAGGATGTCATTTTTCACTTTGTTGTAAGGCTGCTGATTCGAAGGAAGTGGAAAGAATTCGCAAGATTACGATTTCAGTAAGTGGTTTTCTTTTGTTGTGCACTCTTATAAAAAGTAAATAAAGGTACCAGAGATCTTTAATCAGTTTATGACCTTTTCAATTCAGTTTGTCTTTCAACTCACTCTGACATAACTTTTATGTATGAGCTTAGCACCCTCCCGGTCCTGGACACTTTTGCTGTAAGCTGACAAAACACCTTTTTTCATTTTGGCGCCAAAATTATTTGTTTACTAAATCAAAAGCCTGGTCGTTATCCTAGCTGTGTGAAAAAATCTAAGTAAAACTGAGACTTGAATTTGAATAAATTAGAATTCAAATTTCGAAATCACTGTATTTTTTAATGGTTACACTGACAAAAAACCTCTTTTTCTGGAGACTGCTGTGAAGAAAAAAAGGTGTTTTGTCAGCTTAGGGCAGACTTCATTTTCACCTATTTCTAATTAAATTAATCATCTCTCACATTTGTTTTTGTTCTTCAGGCTGAACTCCTTCCTGTTTCTCCTGACCTTGATGTCCTTGACCTTCTCAGTGGTGGTGTCTGTGGTGACCCCCGACCCCACAGTTTACGACACCCCGCTACACGTCGCCAGAGCAGTATTTGAAGTATGGGCCGTGATGACTGTGGTTGTTACCTTTATTGTGGAGCTGAACCAGTTTAGAAAGTAAGAAGAAATTTACAGATACAGGTACTGTCGAAATTGTCAAAGACGGCCACCTATAGTAAAAGAGATACGTCATTGTCTTGACAGCTGGGCAGGTGGATATCTAGGGCAGTGTCTTTAGAGTAGCCTTTATGGAAAAAGGCACGGGAGGCAGTGGAAAGTGGTTGTTTGTACTGGTGATTGTCTTGGACAAGTGGCTGTTACTAGGTTCGACAGTATAAGAAATTACATTCTTTTAACTTTATAATTCCATTTTAGGTGTCATTACTGATGTGGAAAAGATTTTGAAGTTTGTCAGGTCCAGATACAAGCATGTCCAAATGTCCTCTTCATGTACCTTATACTTGCCCCAGAGAGGTGTTCATATTAGTTTTAAAAATTGAAGCCTTTTTAAAGCATAGTATAAATTGGCCTGTGAAAATGCATAAATTGACAGAACCTTTGTTTACAGTCTTGTTTACAAATTGCCAACTCTGCATTCTATAATTATTATTTAGTAAGATTTCAGAGACTTCTAATGTCAGTGCACTCTTTTGCTTCTTTCTAAGTTTCAGTTTCTAGACGTGGAAATAAAGAAATGAAAAGAAAAAACGTCACTATTGCGTATGTTTCTCAGATACTGTCCAGCACACACAAAGTGAAATCAGCGGAACTCAAAAATTGTTTATAATGTGCCAATTATCTTATGTACGTATTTTAAATACAAAGAAATTACATCTTAAAAGAAAAAAATTGGGACCTGAAAATTTGTTGGCTGTATGTGTGTGTTTTAGTTTGAGCATATTTTGCTATGTGCATGTCCACTCTGAACATGCCAGGTACTGTGTTCTAAACAAGAAATGGCCATTTTTCTGTCTCAGGCACAAGCTGGAGTACTGGCGCGATCAGTTCAACTGGATCGACATTTCTTCCTCCGGACTTCTCATCACCGTTGTGCCTCTTCGCTTCTGCCACGCTCAGGAACAGTGGCCAGTGTTTGCCATGGGCTATCTGCTCTGGACGCTTCGTATCTTCAAGTACGCTGCTGTTTTCAGGTTGGTTAATTAACCCTTACAGCCCATGTTGCTCATATTTCCCTCATGAGTCCACATTCTCTCTGGCCCAGTCACTGATATCTCCCTCACAGAGCACTAGCCACCACGAATCCAGTCGGGAATTTGTTTAGTATTTCTGTACACTTGTCTCTGAAGAAAAATGTACATATTGTCTTCTAAAACTTCAAACAAATAAAGCAAAGAAATTTTCTTAATGCCAGCAAAAATGCTGTCATGCCTTTTAACTCAATGAGGACGCACGTTCGGCACATGTGTGGAGGCTCGTTGTGTTGGGTACTTTAAAAGAAAAGGCATAACTTCCTATTTCTTACAGATTTTCTATTCTGTTTTCATTCTCTGAAACTTAAAAAAGCAGGTAACAATATGCATTTTATCAAAAATGCAAATTCGTGTTTCTGAATATATGTGTAATGGGTGGAAATGTGCTGATCGGACATATGTGTCTGCTTCGGTAACAAAGAGTTAAAAATTCTTTTGAAGTACAAAAACGGTTTGGTCTTTTCATTTTCCTTTTTACGCGGAGGGTTATAGTTAAATGTCACATTGTAAAGGGCAAAATAAATTATTGTAGGGCATGAGAAATATTCAAGGACATTTATACAATCATGATGCGACTGCTTCCACAGACAGACTGGTGCGTACGCCCAAATCTTGTGGCGGATCATATCCCACGACTTCCTGCAGTTCACCGTTGTGTTCCTCGTCATCTTACTGGCCTTCAGTGGCTCCTTCGTGCTGGCGCTGAGAGGAGAAGATTCCCTCAGTGTTCATAATGAGACGAGGTTTGTTTGTAAATTACTTTTTACACCTTTAGTTATTTAAATTGTGTCAATGGCAGCATAAAAAACACCTTAAAAATAAATAACAACACCTTTACTTTTACTATATTTCAAAGATACTGCCGCTTGTGGATGTGTAGATAAGTTTGAAGGAATTTATGTGTGACAATGTGACAAAATAAGCTGCTTGATTCACTCAGCTGATTGATGATGAGGCAAAAAGTCAATTTTCTTGAACTGTATGTTTATACCTCCCCAGCTTTTAGACTGATAAAGTTTTTTCCCACTTGTAGGACTTGGATAAATCTTTTATTTCACTCTGACAGAGTTATATTATAGAAGAAGTATTGACAATTTGCCATGTTGCTGCCCATGCATTCCCTAACGTTCTATGAAATTGACATGGCATAGCTGCTCTATTTCATGTTTGCTGATAAAAAATTTGTTAGTAGTCAGCATTTTAAATATGCTACTTTCGTGCAATGCAGCACTTCAGATTGTCACAGAAGTTAGCTCAAAACACCTGAGAAATCTGTTATCCCTACCCACTTTGTTTTTAAATAAACTGAGCATTCTGGAATTTCTAACTTTATATCTGCACCTATCTAAATTTTGGAAGTGGACCAAATCTTTGGTATTTACGTTAGTTTACCGATTTAGTAAATAGCCATGAATTTATGGTTTGAGATACTGCAATTGGAAGAAACTTGTGTTTTTGATTGTTGAATTGCAAAATTGCAAACGCTGTTTTAAAAAGTCATGCCCATTTCTGTCAATGAAAATGTTCTGACCTTGAATATCTTGTTCCGACTCCACAGATAAACTTTCTTAGTAGAGCATAATTTTTTTTTCACATTTGTTTAGATCATTTGGAATATCATTTTAATTTTTTGTATGAATTATGGACTTTGAACTTTATTAAAGGAAATACTACCAGACCAAGAAATAACAATTAAATAGTACAAACAAAAGTTACAACAAATGACACCTATATGATGATATACATAATTTTGTTACCCCC